CATTCTTCATACTTACTTGACAGGTATCCGCTGCTTTTTTGCCATTTGAACCAGCACATACCATGTCACTGGTGATTAAAGGTGCGTAGTTGTAATATTCACAAGAGTTACACTTATGTCTGCCAATCACAGTCACGCGGACAGACTTGAGAACATCCGAGGTGTGGTTCTCTTCAGTTATTCCCCATCCAGCAACCAGACACTTGGTGCCATCTGCAGGGTCTTTGACAATTTTGCCCAACTGGAGCCATTTTACTGACTTGGTTGTATTTACTGGTTCCTTAAGCTGAGAAAGAGTTGAAAAGAAATGTTACATTTTGACAGTGACTATCTATATGTTACCGACTTGCCACTGTGATAAAGTCTGGGTCACTACTTAATAATTCATATGTTTTGTTTGGAAAATGGGAAAAAGGTGCAGCGAATTATCGAAACATGTATAAACATACACAGAAATGCACTTTATCAGGTAGAAACAAACGTATTTTCATTGTTGTATCTTTGCTTGACCGGCTACTGGACACTGAATTTTCAGCTTACCTTGAGCAGCATGAGGTCATTGCCCACAATATGATTGAAATAGTTAGGATGAGCAAAATGTTTCTCAACCTCTCGGCCCTGCCTCCACTCTTGTTCCTCTTTGGCGATGGAGTGCGCTCCCAGGATCGCCTTGCTCATTCTGCAAAAGAAAAACTCAGTGTAGTGATGACACTTCACTTACATCAAAAGGTCAGGAGTGTATTTTTCTCTGCTTGAAGGAGGGCAGGATGTAATCGGTTCTTTGTGTTTGTTTGTCTGTTTGCTAGTTTTCAAGCGTTGTGTGATGTCAGACACAAATAACAACTAAAGCTGATTTCATGTTGGTGAAAATCAGGTCAAAGCCACATCAAACTTGAAATTGCCCACAATTGTTTATGGATCATCTTGAAACATCTTAGGGGACATGAGTACCTAGTTTGGCTATGCATTTGACCTTGACCTTCACTGTTAGCACCCAAGGTCAAAGCATGGAGAGAGAGCTGTACAACACACTTACTATTTTTTCACTACAAGATCCTTTGACATCACAATGAGTAAAGACAACTGTAGTATGTCATTTTCAAGGTGAAAGGTTAAAGGTCGTGTTCTTATAAAAGCATGAAACATTTTAGTGCAGCCCCTGCCTGTCAGGAGGAGTTACGCTCTGGGTAAGAAAAAATATCAGTTAGCATTACACTTCACATCTTCTGTTAAAAATAAATACTGCAATATTTTGATTTGGAAATTTAGGAAAAGTGAACCTCAGGTTCTTACCCAGTGCAGTGAGCAGCTGTCAGGACCCATTGTGGGTGGATTAATGTCCCCCCACACATAGATTTCTTACTTGTCAAATAAGCCATGAAGGGCAGTGAGTGTGGCTTAACTTCCTTCCCTCCAATAATCTCAGAACCATGACCTAAAACAAAAAAAAATATCCAGTCACATAAGAAAATCAGCAGATTTTTAAGTCAAGAACAGATGAGTGAGCACAAATCTTACACCAACTGAGAGATATCAGTAATGTAAATTAAAGTAAAAAACATCATTCACCTGACTGGATGATGGAAAGAAGCATGAACAAGATGAAAACACTGAAATTCCTCAGGCACAACATGTTGTCTCAACTCTCGCTGAGCGGATGTTGAATTCACTGAAGTCCACTGTGATGCACAGCTTTATACACTGTGCAGACACCACACACACACACACACACACACACACACA